ATATTTAGTTGTTCAATGGATTTTTGAGCATCAAAATGATGCCTTGGTTTAGGCAAATTTATTCAGACTATTTAAAACTTTAAATGCTCATTAGGCTGCTGAGAATTGGGAAAAAGTTCCCAGAGAAAACAGATCAGGGTATTGAAATAGCAGATAATTTGTAGGTTTCCTTCACTTATCTGAGTAGCAAGAGGAGAAACTGACAATGTTTGTTAAATATATATAGAAACTACTTAATGACAATACAAATTAAGTACGTGGAAACAACATTAACAAGAAATTTTAGTGGCTACTTATACTACTGTTTGAGGATTAAAATTTTTCTTTCATTGAAGTGTATCATATCTGTATTGATACATATAAATCTTAAGTACTATATGTAAGATCAATAAATTTAACACCCAGAGAATACACCGATTGCTAAAGATCAGTTTTGCTTGAACTTCACATATGTGTTCTTGTGTGTGAATTTTGTTCAACATTATGTCTCTGAGATTCATCCATGTTGTTAATGCAGCAGTTGTTCATTTTTTTAAATTGCTCTATAATTTTTGGTTGTATAAATATGCCACAGTTTATCCATTTCTTTTTAGATGGCTATTTTCAATGTTTGAATATTATGAATGAAACTGAATATTTTTGAATGTGCTTTTTATGGACATAGATTCATTTCTTTTGAGTACATCTTTAGCTGTAAAGTTTTTTTAGTTATATAGCAGGCATATGTTTAACTTTATTACATACTGCCAGTTTTCTAAAGTGATGATAAACAATTTATGGTCCCACCAGTAAAGTTATGAGCATTCCAAATATTTTGTATATTTACCAACACTTGGTTTTGTCAGTTTTTGCCATTCTGGTTGGTGTTCACAGTACTTCACTGATTCAATTTGCATTTTTTTTTTTTTTTGACTAACGATGTTGAGTATCTTTCCATGTTTACAGCCAATTTGCGTATCTATCTTTCCCCTTTTGTGAGAAATACTTTGCCCTATGCTGACATTCATTGACTCCTCTAGAACTGGACATCTTCAAAGTAGATTATTTTCTGTTCTTGTGGTATCTGTTCCTCTCCCTTTCAGGTTTTCAACATCCACACAGATCTAAAGGTTTCTAAACTTAAATGTGCATAGGAATTCCTTGGGGTAGAAGGGAATTTTATTGAAATACAGTGTCCTATTCATACACCCAATTAATAAGAATCTTTAGGAAGAGATTCACAAACTTTCCTAATGATTCTGAATATAGATGTTTTACAAACTAACTTTACATATATTAGTCTGTGTTTTACATAATGTTTCTTAAAATTTTAAAGTTGATCATGATATGTTTATATCTATATGTCCAATTGTTATTTACATCTCTGGTATTTGAATTCTTACTTTCCTTGACAGAAAGATTGTTTGTTACATTAGTTGATTCTATTACCGTACTCTTTAAAACTAATTGCTAATTTCTCTGTATTTCATTATTCCATCTATTTTGAGTGTTGCCACACATAGTTCTACCTGTGGGAGATAGAGTAATAAATAAGACAGAGAAGTAGGTCCCTGTCCCCATAAAGGTTATAATCTGTATCTACCCTCTTTGGTTTATTTTACAGTTGTTTTCTCTCAACCGTTTGCATTCAAGATGATGTTAAATTGAAGATTATGTTAAATGCATAGTGCATGAGTTCTCTCCATTTGTTCTCTAATGAAATTCCTTGAGACTACAGTTTTTCTAATGAGTACTATTTCAGCCGTAATACATATGTAAATTTATGTGCATGGTTCATCAACTATGATTTCAGCTCACTTTCGGTTTACATGAGAGTTTAACTTTCTAAGGTGTTAGATATTGGTGTCATTTTTTATTGAGGTCTAGCTCTATACTGAGAGAAGTGCATTAATATTTTTCACTCTATAACTTCATCTGGCTCTCTTTCTAAGATTTAGGTTAGAAGTACCAATATGAAGTGTTAGGAGTAATATTTGTGAATTCTATGTATTAAGATAAATATTATCATCGTTATATATTATTTGAGGACTAAATGTTTTACCAATGTAAAATGTTTCTTTTTATCTTTTTAAATGCTTCTCTAAATTCAACTTGCCTAAAAGCCTGATGTTTACATTTTCATGTCTCCTTTTGTTTGTTTGCTTACCATATGCCTGGTAAACATAGGTTTATCCTTTCATTTGCAACGTTTCCATGTCATCTTATTTTCATTGTTTCTATTGTAAGCAAACAATCGCTGAATGTTCTTTTTTCATTCATTAGGAAGTGTTTGTCTTTCATTGGAAAAATTCAATGATTTACATTTTCCGTGGTTAATTAACATGGTCTTTTCTCGTCCCTTCTTGCCTTCCTTTCCGCATCTTATGCCTGTTATTTCCCTTTTTTTTACAGTACATGGGTTATTTTAACATAAATTCCACATAATACACTTTAAAGTTTGGGAAGTTCTGGCCCCAAAAATATGGTTCCTGGTGGTATTATCACTTAAGAAATTGTTAGATATGGAAATTGTGGAACCTCATGACAGACCTACTGAATCAGAAACTCTGAGGTGGAGCCCAACCATCTGTGTTTTAATAAGCCCTTCTGGTGATTCTAATGCATGCTCAAGTTTAGGAACCACTGATCTAAAGGATTCTCTAGAAGGTGGCTATGGATTTTCTGATAGCATGTTCAGGTGAACAACAAGTCGGATTGTTGCCTCATCATCACCTTTATCAAAGAATTAGAAAAAAAAAGTTGCTATGGAAACTGAGCACAGTAGATTTTTCTGCTTAAGCTACCTGATTTTATCCTCATACTTTTGATGCTCTAACTTTTGGTAGAGGCCATATCCTGTTTCTTTTTCTGGTCTGTAGTGGGTTCAATTCTGTCCCATAAGAAGATGTCATATTAAAGTGGGCCCTATGTCCAATGAATGTATGAATGTTGGTATCCTTATATGAAGAACAGAGTACACAAAGATACACAGAGAAGAAGGCCCCAGGCAACCATAGAGAGAGACAGGGATAGGAGTGACGCTGCTACAAACCAAGAAACACAAAGGGTTTCTGGGAGCCACCAGACGCTAGGAGGCAGGAAAGATTCTTCCCTTGAGTCTTCAGAAGGACAGTCCTGCCACATACCTTGATTTTTTTTTTTTTACTTCTACCTCTGTAACTCAGAATAAATTTATATCGTGTTACGTCACCAAGTTTTCAGTGTTTCGTTATGACAGCCCTGAAAAACAAATACAGACCCTAATATCCATTATGAAATCTGCCACCCCATTTCTCATTTAATCAAAGTCATATAGGATGCTGGGTAAAATTCTAGTTATGGTACATTGATGTCCAGATAAGTCATCAAAAACAAGGCCATTCAGCTATCTCCTGAAGATACTCCTCTAAAATGGCAAAGATCATTTCCCCAGCTCCAATGAAAACATCTGTTTCCTTTCCCCATTGCTGAGACCTTTTTGATTCCTTCCATTCTTTCCTTGCTTCCTCCACGAATACTCCCCCACCTATGTCCCAATTCCCTGACTGACAACTTTCCCCTATTCTCTTTAGAAATGAAAACCTTGAAGCCTCTGGCACAGCCATGATTTTGTTGACCCTTGTGTAGGATGCAGGAGGGGGTGAGGGTGTTTACAGTCTGGAGGGCAGGGAAAATGAAAGTCAACAATGTCAGCTTGACCCTGGTTGGTAGCTTGCCTTTCTTTCTTGAGGACTCTAAATATTTTTATTTAAAAAATTAAAGCATCTTACACCCTTGAGTTAACTCTGTCAGCATTTCCATAGCTTCTTGAAATTAATTATGGTAAAGAGAGTTATCTGTTTCTCTTCCCAACTTCATATTACATTAAAAACACTCATCCTTTTTTGTCTTTTTCTTGTCTATAAATGGGATGAAGATAGCTTATCTTGCCACAATAGTCATTTTATGATAATTAAAATATATAGATTCAATGAAGGACGTTTTAAGTATGTAAAAGTGAAAAGCAGAAAAAATATTTACGCATAATCTCTTACCTTGAAGTAAACAGTGTTGTACCCATAGTATATGTTATTTAGACCCTTCAAAAACATTGATGCCTATATAATATTTTCTTACCTAGATGACTATACCATACTTTATATCACTGAGGAAATAAAAGCTATCGTATAGGAATAAGACTCTAAATTTGTTTCCTGCTTTCAACTTAATCACTGACTCTTGTCCTGTTTCTTTTTTTGTTTTGCACCGAAGGGGATGTAGGAGTTATAAACTTCTTCCAAGTTTTACCTAAATTGATCTTCCAAACATAGTATTTTTTCCTGTAAACTTAGGGTACTTCTTAATCACTTGTAGCCTTTCGAGTTTCCCATGATTTCCTCATCAGTCATTGTTCTCAAAAGAGCTTTGCTATTATTTTGTATATGAGTTTGACATTTCTTTTTCTTTTTTTTTAATATAGAAAACCTAAGTTTATTTGTTAAATTATAAAAACAAAACAATTTTCATTTGAAGTACTTTGAGGATATCATCCCAGATTCACTTGTTCTGTTACAGAAACTAATCTAAAAGGTTGGAAATGAAAGGATACAACCTAAGAGGTTATAACTGCAGGCTGGTAAGGCATGGCAAAGGAGCTCTCTCTTTGCCACTCAGTCTACCTATGCCTCCAAGCTCCTGTGCCTTTTTACCACATAGGTCTGCTAGCTTACAGAAGATGCATACAATGAAGGCAGGAATTATAGACCTACTCAGAGGGTACTCAGACATAGAAAGTTTTACATAAATAATAAACTACAAATACCCTCTTGGTTAAGTTAATTCATCAAGTTAATAGAGGTCATAGTATCTATCTTCTGCTGGTGACAATTTGTTGTCTCAGTATAGTCTGTCTCAAAAAGAACTGATTCAACTTGGGTTTTGGAAAAGGAAAAAGACTTTCATCAACTTCACTCCAGAGTGGAAGAAGTACCAAGTTCTCTCCTACAGTTAGGAGCAGAATCTTAAACTTGTATAAATCATTTTCAGTGATCAACATCTGTATCTTCATAATCTCTTATGAAATCATCTGTCCAAACCCTAGTTATATTATACTGGCTGCTTGTAGAGTGAGAAAGCATTTCTTCTAATCTTTCCAGTGTAGCTTGGTCTTCTGCTGTTAGATGGAATAATCCTCCTTCATAGGTGTAAAATGGTAGGGTGTCATCTTGTCCTTGTTCATGTGCTTCCACATCATATTCTCCATTGTAGTTATTTGAATCCTCATCCCCAGGATCTGGATACAAGACCTGGTATTCACACATTGCAGTGAACATTGCTTCCAATGCTGATTTAACACTAGATACAAATCTAAATTCAGTAATAGGTTCAACATCATCATCACTGTCTTTCTTTTCTTCATCAGAAACAGATTCTTAGGATTTTTCTAGTTTGTCATTCCCCATAACATACAAATGCTCTCATAATCACTTTGGTCTTTGGCAATGCATGTATGCTAATGGTGGGATATTCCAGTGGGAATCCTAATCCAGAGCCATCTAACCAAGACAGTGGCTCTCGGTGATTTAAAGGGTGCCGGTGCCCAGGCACTTCCACTTTGGCACATCTTCTGTGTCTGGCTGCTGCTGCCGCAGGTGCCCCTCCTCTGACCCCGGTGGTGGGAAACTTTTTTAACAGTTATTTTTTAGTGTAACACAATGTTACCATTACACCTCCAAAACTCCAACTCACTTCAACAGAAAGCTCATTATAGGAAAATCCATGGTTACTTTTATAACTTACCTGGTTTTATTTTACTGCAGCATTTGAAAGAGTTTACTATGACCTTTGTCTTCAAATATTTTTCACCCTTGGCTTCTACGGACAGCTGTCTCTAAGTATTCCTATGACCTTTGTGTTGTCCTCCCTAATCTAGACCCTCCATTTTCTTTGCTGACTTTGTGTATTGGTATTTGTAGGACTTCAGTTGTACATATTTGTTTAGTTTCATTTGACATATTATCTAATTTCTATGAAATATGTTCATTTTACATCTAACTTAAGCCTTTTCATTTGTGATATGGATTATTGAAACAATTCTCATCAGTCTTTCTTCCTCTAGTCTTGTCTTCCTCCAATTAATCATCTGTATTGCTGTACGAGTAATAATTATATGTAATTCGACAACCAAATTACTCCCATGCCTAAAAATTTTTAATGGACTGTATGCTCTCTCTAGGATAAAAGTCAAATGCCCTCATGGATCTCTCTCTCTAGCCTTTACCTTTCATCTTCATCTGGTCCCCAATTTGAACTCATTAACCATGCACTATAATGCCTAGGGCATCTTTTTAAAGGCTTATTTTTCCTTGAAAGATCCCCATAATCTATCAGGGCTCTGATGAAATCTTATATAACCCTATTTCTTCAATGAGTTCATATGGCTACCCATTCATAATCATCCTAACATTTCATGTACCGTATTACAGTTGACAATTTACAACTCTATATTGCCGACTGGACCATAAATTATACTTCCCAGCCTCTGGTAACCATCATTCTACCTTCTGTCTCCATGAGTTCCATGGTTTGAATTTTTTTTTTTTTTTTTTGAAACGGAGTTTCCCTCTTTTTACCCAGGCTGGAGTGCAATGTTGCGATCTTGGCTCACCGCAACCTCCGCCTCCTGGGTTCAGGCAATTCTCCTGCCTCAGCCTCCTGAGTAGCTGGGATTACAGGCACGCACCACCACTACCAGCTAATTTTTTTGTATTTTTAGTAGAGACGGGGTTTCACCATGTTGACCAAGATGGTCTCAATCTCTTGACCTCGTGATCCACCTGCCTCAGCCTCCCAAAGTGCTGGGATTACAGGCTTGAGCCACCGCGCCCGGCCCATGGTTTGAATTTTTACCTCCCACAAGTAAGTGAGAACATACAAAGTTTGTCTTTTTGTGCTGGGCTTTCATCACTTGATGTAATGACCTCTAGCTGGATTTTTGTAAATGGCGAGAGATAGGGAACTAATTTCATTCTTCTTCATATGAATATCCAATTTTCCCAGCACCATTTATTGAAGAAACTCTGTTTCCCCAACTGTATGTTTCTGGCACCTTTGTAAAAAATAAGTTCACTGTATAGTTACAGGTTTGTTTCTGGTCTCTCTGCTCTGTTCCATTGGTCTGTGTCTGTTTTAATGCCAGTGCCATGCTCTTTTGGTTACTATAGCTGTGTAGTTTTTAAACTCAAGTAGTGTGATTCCTCCAGTTTTGTTCTTTTCGCTCAAGATAGCTGTGACTATTCTGGGTCTTTTGTAATTCCATAAAAATTTTAGGATTTTTTTTTCTATTTCTATGAAGAATGTCATTGTATTTTGATAGAGACTGAACTGAATCTGTAGACTGCTTTGAGTAGTATGACAATTTTGACGACATTGTGATTCCAATCCATGAACATGAAGTACCTTTCCATCGCACTGTGTCCTCTTCAGTTTCTTGCATCAATATTTTAGAGTTTTCGTTAGACCTTTCACTTCTTTGGTTAATTTTCAGATATTTAACTTGCTTTGTAGCTAATGTAAATGAGATTACTTTTTAAATTTGTTTTTAGGATTATTTGCTTTCAGCCTATAAAAATGCTCCTGATTTTTCTATGTTGATTTTTGAATACTGCAACTTTACTGAATTTGTTTATTAGTTCTAATAGTTTTTTGTGAAATTTCTAGTTTTTTCTTTCCAAATATGAGATTATATTTGCAAGGATAATTTGACTTCTTCCTTAACAATTTGGATGCCTTTTATTTCTCTTGTCTGCTTGTGCTAGCTAGAACTTTCAGTACTGTGTTGGATAACAGTAGGGATAGTGAGCATCCTTGTCATATTCCAGATCTTCAAGGAAACGCTTTCAGTGTTTTTTTTTTTTCCTATTCATGATGATACTTACTGTGGATCTGTCATACATAACTTTTATGAAGTTGAAGAATGTTTCTTGTATACCCATTTCTTAGAGTATTCATTGAGAGGGAATGTTAAACTTTATTATTTTTCAGCATCAATTGAAATGATTCTGTAGCGTTTGTCCTTCTTTCTGTTGACATATCACATTGATTGATTTGCATTTGTTGAACCGTCCATGCATCCTTGGGTTAAATCCCAAAGATGTTGATGAATGATCTTTTTAATATTTTGTTGAATTTTGTTTGCTAGTGTTTTGTGAAGATTTTTACGTTAATGTTCATTAGGGATTTTTGTCTTGTAGTTTTTTTTCATTTGATTTATCTTTAATTTTGGTATCAGGATAATACTGGCCCTGTAGAATGAGTTTGGAAGTACTCCCTTTTCCTCTATATTTTGGGATAGTTTGAGTGATATTGTATTAGTTCTTTTTTAAATGTTTGGCAAAATTCAGCAGTGAAGCCATTGGATCCCAGGCTTTTCTTTGGAGACTATTTCTTACAGCTTTGATCTCATTATTCATCTGTTTAGGTTTATTATTTCTTCATGGTTCAATGTTGGTAGATGGCATATGTCTAGAATATATCCATTCCTTCTGGGTTTTCCAACTAATTGCCATAGAGTTGCTCATGGTAGCCTCAAATGATCCTTTGAATTTTTATGGTATTGGGTATATTGTCTCCTTTTTTATTTTTGATGTCATTTGAGTCTGTCTAAATGTTTGTCAAGTTTGTTTTATTCTTTGCCTAAATGTTTGTCAAATTTATCTTTTCAAATAGCATCTTTTTCTTTCATTGATCTTTTGTACTGTTCATTCAAATTTATTTCTGCTCTAATCTTTACTATGTCTAGTCTTCTAAATTTGGATTGAGTTTGTTCTTGCTTTCCTAGTTTTTTAAGATGCCTCATTACTGAGGCAGGAGAATTGCTTGAACCCAGCAGGCAGAGGTTATAGTGAGCAGAGATCGTGCCACTGTGCTCCAGCCTGGTGACAGAGTGAGATGCTGTTTAGAAAAAAAGCCGTATTAGGTTGTTTATGTAAAGTGTATCTTCTTTCAGATGTAGGTGCTTTTAGCTGTAAACTACCCTCTCAGTGCTGTTTTGCTGTTTCCCATAGGTTTTGATATATTGTGTTTCCATAATCATTAATTTCAAAATATTTTTAAATTTCCTTAATTTTTCTCATTGACCCACTGATCATTCAGGAGCACATTAACTTTCATGTGTTTGTATAGTTTCCAAAAACTCCTCTTATTACTGATTTGTTGTTTTATTTCCTTGTCATCAGATTTAATTTCAATATTTTAAATGTTTAAGTCTTGTTTTGTGGCTTAACATATTGTCGATCCTTGATAATGATTCATGTGCTGAGAAGAAAAATATTTATTCTGCAGGTGTTGGATAAAATGTCCTGTAAATACATATTAGATCCATTTATTTCATGGTGCAGATTAAGTCCAATGTTTCTTTGTTAATATTTTCTGTCTAGATAACCTGTCCACTGCTGATAGAGGGGTGTTGAAGTCTCCAGCTATTATCATGTTGGAGTCTGTCTCTCTAGCTCTAATATTTACTTTGTTTATCTTGGTGCTTCATGTTGGGTGCATATATATTTTGAATCATTATGTCGTCTTGCTAAATTGACCCTTTATCATTATGTAATGATGTTCTTTATCTAGTCTTCATGTTTGAAGGGTATTGTCACTGGATATACTATTCTCGGATAGAAGTTTTTTTTGCCATCAGCGCTTTATATATGTCATGTCACTCTGTCCTGGTCTACAAGGTTTCCACTGAATAGTCTGCTGCCAGACATATTCGAGCTTCATTGATAGTTATTTGTTCCTTTTTTTTTTTTTTTTTTTTTTGCTACTTCTAGAATTCTTTATCCTTGATCTTTGGGAGTTTGGTTATTGAATGATTTGAGGTAGTCTTCTTTGGGTTAAATCTGCTGTGTTCTATAACCTTCTTGTATTTGAGTATTGATATCTTTCTCTAGGTTTGAGAAGTTCTCTATTATCCCTTTGAATAAGCTTTCCACCCCTAGTTTTCTTTCTGCCTCTTCTTTAAGGCCAGTAACTCTTAGATTTACCTTTTAGAGGCTATTTTCTAGACCTTAGATGTGCCATATTCTTTTTTGTTCTGTTTTCTCCTCTGACTGTTTATTTTCAAATAGCCTGTCTTCAGACTCACTAATTCTTTCTTATACTTGATCAGTTCTTCTACTAAGAGACTTTAATGCATTTTTAGTATGTCAATTATATTTTCAGCTTCAGAATTTCTACTTGATTCTGTTTATTTCCATTTATTTGCTTAATTTATCTGATACATCCTGAATTTCTTCTGTATTATCTGGAATTTCTTTACGTTTCCTCAAAAAAAACTATTTTGAATTCTCTGTTTGAAAGGTGACACATCTGTCTCTCTATTGGTCCCTGGTGCCTTAGGTGAGGTCATATTTTCCTGGATACTCTGGATGTTTGTGGATGTTCATTGGTGTCTGGGCATTAAAGAGTGAGGTATATATTATAGTTTTCATAGTTTGGATTTGTACCTGTTCTTCTTGGGAAGCCCTTCCAGGTATTTGAAGGGACTTGAGTGTTTTCATCTATGTTTTTGGTTACTGTAGCTATATCTGCATTAGAGGGTACCCCAAGCCCAATAATGCTATGGTTCTGGCAGATTCACAAAGGTACTGCCTTGGTGGTCTTAGATAAGATCTGGAAAAAATCTCTGGATTACCAGGCAGAGACTCTAGTTTTCTTCCCTTATTTTCTGTCAAACAAGTGGAGTTTATCTCTCCATACTGAGCTGCCTGGAGCTAAGGGATGGTGACACAAGCACCCATGTAGTCACCAATACTGGTACTGCACTGGGTCAGACCCGATGCTAGCACAGCACTGGGTTTTGCCCAAGGCCCACCATGACCACGACCTGGCTACCACTTATGTTCACTTAAGGCTCTATAATCAGCAGGTGGTAAATCTAGCCAGCCTTGTGTTTTGTTCTTGAAGGTGCCAAGTTCCCCTGCTCCCAGGTGAGTCCAGAGATGCTGTCTGGGAAACAGAACAAGGAGTCAGAAACCATATAAATCTACCTGGTGATCTATTTTACAGTGGCTGAGCTGGCACCCAAGCCACAAGACAAAGTCCTTCCTACTCTTCCCTTCCCTTTCCCAGGCAGAGGAGTCTCTCCCTACATCTGCCACCACTACAGGCCCAAGAGGAGTACTGCCAGGGTACCACTTATGTTCACTTAGAGCCCAAGCTCTCTTCAGTCAACTTGTGGTAAATTCTGTGATGTCTGGGACTCACTTTTCAAGACAGTGATGTCTAGGATTCACTTTCAGCTCCTTTCTGGCTGAAAG